GAAAAGGAAATGGAATCTACTATTTCGGGTTTAGGGTTTAATGTAATGGAAACCCTATGGGATCTATTGGGGTTATATTGGCATAATGGACAAGAAAATGGAAACTACTATAGTATATAGGGATTTATAAATGGTTGAGCCCGTTGCAAGGAGCATTCTGCAAAGACTTGCAACATCTTAGTCCGAGCTCTGCAATACGAAGACCCCTAGATTAAAAGAGTTGTTTCTGGCCAGATTAGGGGTCCCAGACGTTTAAAGGTCGTACAAAGCCTAACGTCAAAGAACGTAATCCCGGACCCCTAAACATAGGAAGGTTAATGTGTAGGGTGTTTTACAGGCTAGTCTGACATCCGAGGAGTCTGGAGACATTCCATCTAGAATCATTCTTTCTTCTTGTATGGCACGTGATTTTGCTCATGACCTTTGTTTGGGAAGGCGCGCTCATTCTTGAAGAGCTGGGAATAGGTTCAGCTTTCTGATTGCGCGATTTCTTGAAAGTATGTTTCTAATTTTTGCTTGCATACGGAGAGCTCTTTTCATCTGTGACATGGCTACCGGAGTTTGGTTTAAAGAGCCTTTGAACCCGGCTTAGGTACTCGATCCCGGGAAGTTCAGCTCCGCCAAGTGAGCTGACAAAGGGCCGGAGTGTGGAGACGTTCACCGACGAAGGCATGTTCAAGATAGACGAGGACACTGCAGCTGAACAAGAAGGGGCCGCAAGCTTGCGGCCCCGAAGGGCCCATGCAAACAAGGTTGATGAATAAAATGCAGACAGCATAAGAGGGATAACTTCATGCTGACTGAAAGAGCAGGTTGAGTTCATAATCGTAGCTCTAAGAAATCACTGTAGTTTGCAAAGTCAGGGCAGCCTACAAACTCCAAAGCATTAGGAATCTTGTTTATTCCATGCAAGCTGCAATAAAGTGTATCCAGAATCAGTACCACCCTGAACCTCGAGCCTCAAAATCAGACCTGAGTCCTCGACCTTAAGCTCTTATGCCTCAAAACCCATCCTTCAAACCCTAACCCCCAGACCCAAATCCCAAGCCCATGAAACCACTAAGTTTAAAGGCGCGATCCACAATCCAAAGCCTTACCTTCAGACACCGAATCTAAACCCCAAACCCTAGACTCGCACAGGGTTTAGGGTTTAGGGTTAACCAAGACATGCCGAACAGGAAGTTGCCGCCGAAGAAGCAGCAATGGCAGATCGCAGCTTGACTGATGTCAAGAAATTTAAGCCACGATGCAATGATTATGGAACGACCTCTAACTCCGCACATATTCCCGTTACTGTTAGCAGCTTTGGGTGCCTTATGAGCCCAAAACACGAAACCCAAACCCTAAACTTAGAAGGCTCGCCTGTAAGAAAGATTGTAGATTTGGGAAGCAATTCTAAAAAACTGCATAAACCTCGATATAATGTCAATTGGGCTATTCTGCGAAGCCCAAAAAAATTGAAATCTCAACTGTAGAACCTTAACCCAGAACCTTGCCACCTAGGCCTTAGATCCTACGCCCTAAACCCAACTGAAAAGTCTGTGTTTTTGGGCCCGCTATAGGGCAAGAACGTATCTTCCTTTCGGGTTGGGTATTTTGTAAGAAAGAATGTGATTCAGTTTACCCGCCGAAAAAGTGCAGCTTTTCTGTTTGGTCCTCCATTATTGGGATAACCACCCTAAACCCGACATAATCCGATTTTTTCCACATCTAACCCTTTGAAACCCTAAGCCGTAAGCCCCCACCCTAAACCCTAAA